ACCTGCTTTTGTTAATAACTTTCCCATCATTATAACAATACATCTGGATAAGGCATTTCTTAATTCAAAGGAATACATGGAGACAAGAGGAAACTGCAATTTCATCCTTACCTATTACGTTAAAATGATGCTTCTTTGTTTCTTAACGATTGTGTTTGGTAGTAATCCTTGATAAAACTCTCAAATTATAATTTATTTGCTTTATTTATTTAGTTTTTGATTTTGTGCCACACTCAGTGGTTCGCAGGGCTTACTCCTAGCTCTGTGCTCAAGAATCACTCCTGTCAGGCTTGGGGAATCATATAGGCTCCCAGGGATTGAATCCAGCTGACCACATGCAAGGCAAATGTCTACCTGCTGTACTGTCACGCTGGCATCTCAATTTAGGAATTTATTTGAACTTCAATTTAGGGTTTTGTCCTTTAAAACTTTAAGATGAAAATCAGTAAAAGTATGTGGAGTAGATTTTCTTTATTCACAAACATTAAGTTTCTAGTGTCTGCTTTATCTTTTCTGTTTCCTAAGCCAATTTAGAGTTTATTTTTCAACTTTCTGAGAAAATAATAAAGAATAACAAGGAAAGGGTGGAAAGGAAGCTATAGTCACGGTTTTATGTTTTCAGGATTGCCAGGAATTTCATGGTGCAGAAACTGCGCTTTTCCATCGTTGTAAAAGCTGAGCAAGGCAGATTCCCTGTCTCGCTTTCCATCGTTCTAAAAGCTGAGCAAAGGCAGATTCCCTCTCTCACGTAGAACTATGGAAAGACTTAGTTCATACTTTGTTTATAGGTGGGTAATATTGTCTAAAGACAATTATGATGTTTTCTAGATACCACTCAACCTTTTTGTTTCTCACTTAAATGTCACAGAGATGCCAAAATCATTTTATTATGAACTTTAACATTCTGTTACACTCTGAAAAACCCGCAGTTCTGTTGTGTTTTGTTTCTTTATTGTTGAATTTTGGAAGCCTACAATTATTCAAGTTTTCTGTCCTGAACACGTTTAAAAATAAGTTTTTGCAGAGGCAGTTTAGCACAGTGAGAATTCCTGCCACTACTCTCTATGAGACTCTATTAGCACAGATTCTATTTTTATTTTATTAGTTATTGGTCTACTGATTCCATTTCTGGCAGAGTTAAAAATGTTTCTAAATAAAGCACAATGCTAAATGAACTTGTGGTGACCACAGGTATATTTTATTGGTGAATTTTCTTTTTTTATTGAATTACCATGACAGTTATAAAGTTTTCATGTTTGCGTTTCAGTCATACAGTGATCAAACACCAATCCCTCCACCAGTGCACATTCTCTACCACCAATGTCCCCAGTATAACCACCCCCCTTCCCAAACCTCCCCCTGCCTTTATGGTAGACAATTTTCCCCATACTCTTTCTGCTATTGGACATTATGGTTTGCAATATAGATACTGAGAGGCTATCTTGTTTGGTCCTTTTTCTACTTTCAACACATATCTCCCATCATAAAAGATTCCTCCATCATTGACTTAGTGATCCCTTCTCTATTCCAGCTGCCTTCTCTCCCAGCCCATGAGACAGGCTTCCAACTATGGAGCACTATTCCTGACCTTGTGTGTACTGTTTAATGGTGAATTTTCATGTGTTTTTGACATGGAAGAGATTTTCCAGTTGAAAGGAAATATCTATAATGGTTATTTAGTTGAATATTTCACATGAAAATTACCAGAAGTAATACAGGACAAGATTCGTTATAATGGTTAGAAATATTGCCTTTAGAGAGAGAGAGAACAAAAGGGAATGTCCTGCCATAGGGGTGGGGTTGGATGGGGGAGTTGGGGGTGGGAGGGATACTGGGAGCATTGGAGGTGGAGAATGGGCACTGGTGGAGGGATGGGTACTCAAACATTGTATAACTGAAACCCAAGCACAAAAATTTGTAAGTCTACAACTGTACCTCATGGTGTTTCACTAATAAAAATTTTAAAAAAGGAAATGTTGCCTTTAGAATTTCACATAATCTGTAGTGAGAAAATGAGAATGGCTTCATTTGATATTCATTAAATATGTATATTTAATTATAAAAATAAGGGACAATTAAAAATGACATGGCAAACTACTGTTCAAAACCAAAGGTTTGGTTCCTCCTAATTTGTTATTTTGCAAAATTGCTTAGCAACTCCAATTCTTTTGCCTTTTCTTATAAATTTTAGAACCAGTGTGCCTGTATGTAGGAAAAATGTGCTGATATTTTGAGCAGTACTGTCTAAAGTTGATTTTCAAATTGGATTTATATGATATCTTTAATTTGTTGTATTTTCAAGACTATGAACACAGGATATTATTTCCATGAATGTAGATATCAGATTAGTGTTTGAGAGTTTTCAACACATAATTTCTATTCATATTTTGTTAAATTTATATCTCTTTATGAATAGGTCTTCCCTCCCTGTCCAATCAGCAAGGAGGGAAATTTAAATTATTTAAATGCTTTTTCCTTAAATTTTTATTAGTGAAACACCATGAGGTATAGTTTTAGACTTACAAATTTTTGTGCTTGGGTTTCAGTTATACATTGATCGAATACCCATCCCTCCAAACATTTACATTTAAATGTTTTAAAAATAAACTTAATTTTAATAGTACAACTCGTATGTATAGAAATTCATTGGTTTTTGGTGATTTATACACTGGTCTTGTTACATATGGACAATCCTCAAAAAACTAAGAATTCATTTTCTATATGACCTAGCAATTTCGCTCCTGGAAATATACCAGCAGCACAATGCAGAAAAGACATCTGCATTCCCATGTTCATTGCAGCACTATCTGCAATAGCTAAAATCTATAAACAACCCCAGTTCTCAAGAACAGATGAGTGGAAAGAGAAGTTGTGATACATGTGCACAATGGAATACTACTCAGCTATTAGAAAAGATGAAGTCATTCAATTTGCTGATAAATAGATGAATCTGGAGATTAGCATGCTGATTGAAATAAGTCAGAGGTAGAGGCACAGTCACAGAATTATCTCACTTGTATGCGGGATATAAAGAATCATAATAGGGGAATAACTAATGTGCAAAGGCAACAGAAATGATGAGCGGGAAAACTGGTCTTTTTAAGGAAGGTAAAAAGACCAGTTTTCCCGCTCATCATTTTTATATGGAGAAAAATAGTCTCGTAGAATTTCTATGTATGTATATCTCTGTACATATGCATAGAGAGATATATCTATATATATATTTAGTTTGTGGGATATTCCTGGCTTCCTTAGGGATCACTGCTGTTGTGGCTCAAGGGATCATATGTGGTGCCAGGCATTGACCCTAGGTTGCCTGCATGTTACAGCAAAAAATCAAAAATACAATGCAAGCACATTGTTCACTGTACTCTTTCTCTGGTCCCAGATTTATCTTTACTATCTAACACCTATTGTGGTTGGTCCTTGATTGAGAACATCAAAGAAAAGGACCCTCTACTATCTACTGCCTGAAATTTCACTACCAGTAATCTTGGTGGTTTCATGACTCCAAACCTTACTCATAATGTTCCTTCTGTCACTATATCATGGACATGTAGGTACTTACATAAGTTCATCTCTTGTGGATGGTGGTAATGGAGTTACCAAACTTTCTGAGCAATCAGAATCAAGGGAACTAGTGATGTATGAAAGAGCAAGATGTAACCAAGTGAATCAGAAAGATGTAAATTTAATTGCTGGGATGTGTTGATAGAGAATGTGACATAGTGTGAATTACAAATACTCTTAAGTTCTTGGCTCTTTATGTAAATCAATTTTTCCCAAAGAATTAAGGACTTGGGAAAGGAATGATTAATAAATATATATCCTGCTGCGTGGGTGATAACATAATGAATATGTGTGTTTGTAAGTATTTGTGGAAATACTGTCACTGTCACTGTCCTCCCATTGTTCATCGATTTGCTCGAGCGGGCCCAGTAATGTCTCCATTGTGACATTTGTTACTGTGTTTGTCATATCGAATATGTCACGGGGAGCTTGCCAGACTTTGCTGTGTGGGCGAGATACTCTCGGTAGCTTGCTGGGCTCTCCAAGAGGGGCAGAGGAATAGAACTCAGGTCAGCCATATTGGCCGCTTGCAAGGCAAACAACCTACCTGCTGTGCTATCGCTCCAGCCTGGAAATAATGTATTAAAATGATAAATATAATTTGGGGAATATTGAAATTCTGAGGGTTTTATGCTTTTGTTTATTTGGGGGCTGCACCTGGAAGTGGTTCAGGATATAAGACAATGCCTTATCTCTTTGGTCTGAAACAATGAGGATTTTATTTAAAATAATCTTAACTTTCTGATTTTATGGAAATTTTACTATCTACATGAAATTATTGATAAACACTTTTTAAGCTTATAAAATACAAGTTCCATTATCAAAGTGGTATATTCAATAAAATAAAAAAATTCAACTCTTTTAATGAATAAGAGCAGGTATTATATTATCCTATATTGTGAATTATTTCTCATTTTTAACCCTTTAAATTTCTTTCACCCATCAATTCAATTTCAGGAATATATCCTAAGAACATATAAGAAAAGTGTGAAACATTGCAAGTATATTATGAATATATATGAATAAGGGCTGGAGCGATAGCACAGCGGTAGGGCGTTCGCCTTACAAGCGGCCAACATGGCCGACCCGAGTTCGATTCCTCCGCCCCTCTCGGAGAGCCCGGCAAGCTACCGAGAGTATTCGATATGCCAGACACAGTAACAACAAAGTCTCCAATGGAGACGTTACTGGGCCCGCTCGAGCAAATCGACGATCAACGGGAGGGCCTTTACCCTTTACCCTTATATATTTCAAAATTTATGGGAAAGTAAAAAATGTCATTAATGAACAGAAATCACATGTGCACATATATAGGGATTTGTTTAAAATAAACATGTTCTCTACACTATAGTGTTCTAAAATTTTTAGTAGTAAACATTATTTAACAGATGTTATTCTATATCAGAATACAGGAAATTAGGGAATTTTTTTTATGGTTTCACAATAAAGTTTATTAGCTGTTCTCCTCTTTCTCATAAGTGGAATGGATAATGTTGATAATTCTTTACAAACTAGTACTCATTTAAGAAAACTGTAATAAGGAGGTTGTTCAAAACACACACATTCAGTAAAAGACTCCATGAAAGCAATGGGAAGCCAAACAATATCAATAGTATGAATGACCAGAAAATTGATTTCTGAACTCAGATCTACCTTTCACTAAAGTTTCTTACAATTGTTCACCATGAGCATGTGTGCGGCTCTGAGCAGGAAAGCCCTGCAGACAGAGGGGAGACGCACGGGGGCGTTTGCCTTTTTCCTAATAATGAAAGGAGGAGAACCTGAAGGAGAGGCAGCAGAACAAACCCAACGCAAGAACAGCGACGAAAGACAGAAACAAAAAACAAACAAGGAACCATTTGAAAACTTTTGTAGAAAAGAGGAGAACATGCTTATACTTTTACTTGTAACCTAATTTCCCTAAAGGTTTCTCTTCATAACCACCATACCCCTGTTTTCAGTTCACATGATTAAGGAAGATAAAGTCCGATCAATTAATATTTAATTTAAAAACCAAACAAAAAGTTAAAGAGTAGGTGGCAAAAGAAAAAATATATTTTAAATATATATATGTTTGTGTGCAACTATGTAATGAAAATAATTCCCATAGTTACAGAGTTTAAAGAAAGTCTTATATATATTTATATATATATATTTTTTATTATAACAAAATAGGCAGTTATTGTGGGTAAAATATTCATTAAAATCTGACCCCTAAGAATACATTGAAAGGCTTAGACTATGAATTGGATTCCTTTTCCTTTGCCCTAGAATTACATCACATTTTGATGTCTGTTCTGTCTGTGACATTTTCTCAGCCTTCTATGTAAAAGGTGAGCTTCCTTAGCACCTAAACATGGCCTCCATTTGGAAAAAGTGGTGATTATTATGTATGTGCAATTTTGCAAGACACTAGAAATAGTGTTGCACAAATAGATTAAAAACATCGTTATTCCTAGCAAATGTCTTGGGGGGGGGAAAACCTCAGACAGTAAAAGACTTTCAAGATCTCTTATGAAAATGAGGATCCCTTATGAAATTATGAAAGTTGACCCAGACATTAATTTTGAAATTAAAAACATATATTTTCTCATTCGTCTTATGAAATACTTGTTTCAATAACTGAAGTCGATTGAGAAAAGAACTTGAGAGCTAATATATTGGCCAAACCATGCTATTAAAGTTAAGCGCGCATTGTTGCTCAAATTTACGGAATCACTAATTAAAACCACTTTTCTTTCATTTATATTGAAAATTCAAAAGAATGTATATAAAGCTTTTCTGAAAACATCTTAGAGTTACTTTCCCTTAAACATTAAGGAATTTTACCATAATTTCCCCATTTCCCCAAAATTCTTAATAGCTGGTCAGGCCATTCCATCTTCTATTCTGAAAGATGGCCACAAACCCAAGTGACAGAAACTAATGCAGATGCTGCGACTGAAAGGACACTAGACGTCAAGTCTAAGCGCAGCTACGGACCGAGGTGACAGGGAGGTGAGTCTACAGGAGGGAGTGCTGAAGACAAGCTCGAGGAGGCAGGGGCGAAGAGTGTCCAAAAAGGAAAAAAAAGAAGTCTGGAAAAGAGCAACAGAGCAACAGGAGTCCTCATAACTTTTCTTTTGCTGGAACCCAGATGTACGGCCCGGACTGTTCGTCTATGATCTGCTTCACTTGGTTGTAAATGTCCTCCAGAGTGTCTCCCTGCACAATGGCTGTGAAATGTTCAGTAAACTCTTGTTCCAGTTTCATGGCTCTTTCAAACGTCTTCCTGGCATGTTCTTCTGTTAGACGCTTATTCATTTCTATGATATTTTCCATGGATTTGGGCTTAATAAAAATGGAGATTGGGTAAAGTTGTGCAATCTGTAGTCTCTTTATGGCATTTCCTGACACATCGAGGATACAGTGCTTGCCCTTTTCTGCGACTTCTCGCACAGACTGAACACTTGTTCCATACAGATGGTTGTTATACTGGCCAGCTTCAATGAATTTATGTTCCTGGATATCTTTTTCCATCTGTTCTCTTGAAGTTACAAAATGATAATCTCTTCCATCTACTTCATAATCTCGTTTTGGTCTAGTTGTATGAGGAACACATGATCCGAATTTGTCAGGAAATTCTGAGATCAAGTCATCATTTATCCTGTCTTTTGTAGGTCCCAATATGATCACTGGTCGAGTATAATTAACTTCTTGTTGATTGACTGGTTCATAAGATAAGGCATACTCTTCTTGACCACGGTAACTACTTTCACTATCGCTGGCATTAGAAGTTACATGTTTCAGGCCTTTTGATCCCATGTCGTCAGGGATCTCCCCTTTATCTCTTGTCTTAGAATTGAACTTCACTGTTTTTAATCGTGCTCGTTCTTTCTTTTCAACTCTGCGTTTACTGGGAATTACCCCAACTTCATCACTCTCGCCATCTGGTGTAACCTGCCTGGCTTGCCACCACTCATCATCAGAAGCATTAATAACATGAAGGATATCTCCAAATTTGAAGTTCAATCCTTGACTGGGAAGACCACTGTCTTTAGTCTTGTCATAATCAAAAAGGGCTCTGACATAGAGGGATCGCTTCTGGTTAGTTCGAAGAGATCCTGATCCTGAACTAATGCTACTATTCATCATCTGCTCCCGTAGATCATGTATTTTGGCTTCAAAACGACTGTATTCTTCAGGTCGATACTGCGCAACAATTGTGACAGCCTGGCCTGCATTTTTCAGAGCGGCTGCTGCCTGCTCATGGCTGGCAGTTCTGAGGTCAACACTGTTTACCGATATAATCCGATCTCCTTTTCTGAGTTCACCACTAAGATCAGCAGGTCCTCCAGCCAAGATAAAGGAAATAAATATTCCTTCTCCATCTTCGCCTCCTACAATGTTGAAACCTAGGCCTGTTGAGCCACGATGGAGAACAACTTTTCTAGGTTCCCTTGTAATTTCATCATCGCCAAGCATTGCTTTGGAAACAGGCGAGTACCTGGTGGGTGACGCTGGTGTCTGGCCCAAGTAGGAAGACGGGCTAACATGGTTATCAACGTGCTGAGTAGCAGAGTTGGTGATATCGGGTGGTGCGTAGCCATCATTCATATACATACTTGTAGGTTTTGCCACTTTTAAATAAACAAAATCAGATGTGTTCTTTAAGGCAGTTACTGCTTCTTCATGAGTAACTTCTTCTAAACACACACTATTCACAGCTAAAAGTTTATCTCCAATCTGAAGTTTACCATCTTTATGCGCTGCACCTCCTTCAATTATTTTGGTGACATAGATGCTATTATCCCCAGGAATATGTTGATTTCCAACACCTCCAGCAATGCTGAACCCAAGACCTTTAGGACCCTTCACAAGCTTTATTTCCATTATTTTTTCTGATACTGGTTTCCGCCTTTTCACATATAAACGGACGATGGATCCTGCTTCTTTCAGTGCCTCAACTGCTTTGCTATGTGTCACATCACGGACATCTACTTCATTTACTCGCAATATACAGTCATTTACCCGCAGTCTTCCATCTTGGGCAGCTGCTCCTCCTGCAATAATTTTGGTAATGAATATATTTGTGTCATCTCCAATGTGTGGGTTGTCCATACCTCCAGCAATGCTGAAACCAAGCCCTGAATTTCCCCTTTCAAGTGTGATTTCTTCATATTCATAATCTGCATCCGTGCCATTAACATAAGTTGGAGTTTCTACACTATCTGTGTTGACCAGTACAGGAGGAGGATTTGCCTGTGGCACGGTGGGCAGGATGACAGTGCTCTTGGCAGGGACTGGCGGGGCGGGGGTCACGGGGGCAGTGGGAGGAGAGGGAGGAACAGCTTCTGTCGGCTTTATTGGTGAAATATGAGAATGAGAAACATAGCCATGGACATTTTCAATTTCTGATAGGTTCTTCTCAGAGACATGCACCAATTCTGGACCTATCACTTCATTCGTGATTTGTGGGGAAATGTGTTCTTGAGGAGGTACGTCTTCATCCTGATACCGGTATTTCTCTGTGCTGGGACTAAGGCTGCTTGGCAGTGCTTGGGAAGTCACAGTAGTGCTGGGAAGGCTCGCGATCTCCCAGGTGTTCACAGGCTGCACTGGGTCAGACTGCTTCGCACGATCTACACATTTTGGATTATCCAGTAAGGTCACTTCATAAAATTCTTGAATATCTATTAAAGCCTGAAAGAGGTTGCTCTGAAATATGTTAATAACCCGTTCTATGGAACTTCTGAGTTGTCTGTCTTCAGTTTGGCTTAGCTTCGAACGATATTCCTCCAAGAGGAGCAATGCTCTCTGGGTATCTTGCTTCCGGACAGGCATTTTTCTCCAGGAGGAGGAAGAGGACATACACCTGCTGCTCGCGAGTGCCGAGGCGCTCCGACCCTTGGCCCCTACTGAGCCCGCGGCGGCGGCGGCGGCGGCGGCGGCTGGGCGCTCCGGGAGGACCAGCGGACCCGGCCCGCCCGGCCGCCCCGGGCCCCCTCCCCGCGCGCGCCTCCCTCGGGGCGACTCGGGCAGCGGCCGGACAGGGCAGCGGCCGCTCCGGGCGCCGCGCCCCACATGCACACGCGCCGCCGCCGGCCCCCACACCTGCGGCGCCGCCCGGCCGCTGGCGGCGCGCGGCCGGCGCGGGGCTGCCCTCGGGGCCGGCTCGGGGCGGCTCCCCGGGGCCCGCGCTCCACGTCGCCCCCCGCCCCCCGCCCCGCCCGGGGCTCGGGGCGCCGAGCCGGCGGAGGGAAGCCCGGGCGCAGCAGGCGCTCCCCGGCCGTGGCCGCACGCCCGCCGCCGCGCTCGCCCCGCCGCGCTCGCCCGCTCGCCCCAATTAGGGAATTTTTGTGAAAAATATCACAAGGAGAAATTGAATAAGAGAAGATGGGTGGTATTTTTGTTTTTTTGCTGTAATTTTTTTGTGGTTAACAAAGACAGGTACTAATGTAGTTCTTTCTAAAAATCAATGTAATATAAATTTTTGGAAATTTTGGGATATGTACATGTTATTTTATCTAATTCTTAGCTTAATTTACATAATAGCTGCATAATTTTCATTATCTAGTGTAACTGAAATTGATTAGGTGAATATATTGGTGAACACTTAGACAATTTTGAGTTTTCCCTTTTGCTGCTATTGTGCGTATACTTCCATCTGTTTGAATGAATACTTCAGAGATGTGCATCAAAAGGGAGATTGCTGAGAAAATTGGTTTAGTACACTACTGAGAGATGCATAGAGTGCGAGTTTCTCACAAAACTTATTTCTCCTTCACAGGGAGTAAAAATGGATTGCCACAATCCTTGGGACTCAAGAGCAACACCCAGCAAACACTCTGTTGCAGAATTCCTTGATTTTTCTAAGACCTCCTGTTGGGACTTTCCCAAATTATGGGCAGGTTTGGTAATTTATATATAATCTATCCCAGGTGTGACCTTCCAGGGCTCACAGGGTAGATGCCAGGCCAGAAGGTGGCCACACAAAGAAAAGCAAAATGCACCTCATTGCCACACTGTCTTCTGGAGCATACACCTGCAGTCAGCATGTGATCCTGAATTGTTTTCTTCCGAGCTCTTGAAAATGGTCTGGCTTCTTATTACATCACTTTACATCACTCACCCACTCTTAGCAAGCTGCCACCTCACTGCAGTGTCAGCACAGCCCTGTCTGTGCATTTGTCTCATAGTTGGCCTGGGTAGCATGGCCCAAACTGTTTCCTATGGGGTTCTGGAACGGGCTCAGAACTTCCCTCTGGACTCCATAGTCCTTGACCAGGGGATAGCCCTGACACATGCTCCACTCTAGACCTGGCATAGTCACATGCTCCCACTTGATTATCACATATGACCATGGCAAATGGATGAAAAAAGGTATTTTCTTGCTTTGCTCTCATGAGGGAGAAGGAGGACGGGGCGGGGGTGGGGGGAGTGACTCCAGTGCCTGGTTTTAGCAGCAGCACTGCTTGTGTCAGAAGGTAAGTATACTCAGAATTTGGTGACCACCTTTTGCTGAGATTTCAAAGGTAAAAACAGGACAGATGTGATGGCCAGTTCTTAGTCACTGAATACTTCGTGAAGATTAGAAATTCCTTGTGTTTTAAAACAAACAGTGAAATGCTGTAAATAACTATTACAGTGATGTAGACAAGCTCTTAGGAGTACCTGATTGCCCTTGGTCAGAGCATTTGCTCTGCACTGATGGTGCCTGAAATGAAGTTACTCAGGAAGGTTTATGACACTAGGAATATAAGTTTCCCTTTTTAGTTCAGACTCCATGATCTCACGTGGGAGGTCATTTCTTTGCTTTAACTTCTTCACGGTGTCCTGGAGAAACTGGCCCCTACCTTGAGAACAGAGCTGTTGGTAATAGACAAATGACCAAGGTTAGGGAGACAACTGGGCAACAGAGAGTCCTTCCAGATATAAGAGGATATGCCTCAGAGTCAATGAAAGAGCTTTTCCGAGGAGACAATGGAGACTGAGTTCAGATACACCCTTGATGCTGAAATCTTTACTTCACACAACACAAAAACCTGCATTGTTGGATCAGTGCCTGATTATGTATTGAAGGTGCTTATCTCTTACTGGTAAGAGATTGGTATTGGTAATCTGCTTTGGGAAATGGTGTAGTATAAAACATATATAAAATATTATTTAACAATACTATTATATGCCAAAATGCTGCAGTAAAAATAACTGATTCCATGCTTGGTGAGATTAAGGAAGAATTGTATATCTTCAATATGACTCTAAATTCACACTACGTCTTACCCATATGAAGGGAGGAAGTTGTCTGCTGCATAAAGAACCTCATGTCTTTGGAACTCCAGAATATGCTGCCTTTAGGAAAAAGGATATTTACTGTTTGGGAGGAGGATTGAATGTGCATTACTTCTGGTAAACCTTTGTAGTTTCTAACTCTGTCTTTGGGATTGTGCTGCACACACCATTCTATATAAACATCTATTCCTTTTCTTTTTCTTTTCTCTTTAAACTTTTCTTTTTTCCACACATGTTGATTTTAGTGATGCACACCTGAAACTTTCATAATTCTATGATACAATGACACTTCAATTTAAAAAGTATAATTTTAAAAATTATTTTTGGCATATTTATCTCATGTTAGATACAAATATAAAAGCACAGACATAATGAGTTTAAAAATCACAGACAATAGTAGGAAAGAAAATGACATCTTTTTGTTTTTGAACTTACATGTCAACGCTGTTTCTATATAAATCAAGACAAAGTGAGTCTTACAGCAATGTGAAGTGTCTATCCATATAATTCATCACTGATAGAACAATTATATGTTCACATGATTATATGCAAAGAGTCTTCATCAAAATCAATATCCACTTAGACTGGCAACAGCAATTTAAGAAGAAGAAATCATCTTCAATCTGATAAAAAAGCAACGATGGCAAACTCAGATAATATCAAAAATAATAGCAACACAAAGACAAAAAATAAAAGAGCAGGAAGGTAGAATTAAAACCAGCTGTTTCAAGTTCATGTGCATTGCAGCACCAAACTTCACTCAGCACTAATTAGAAGAAGCAATCCTATTTCATTCTCAAATGTTCTGTTGTGTTTTTAAATATAGTGCCCATGACTATGAATTTCTACATAATTACATTTTGGGAGCCTGATAGATCTATATCTTTGTTTCTATCTATGAAAATGTCCCTAATATAAGTCCCAAGAAGTAGAAACTGGATTGTAATGTGTATTCAAGCTTTAAGGCAATGTATGCATGTGTGTGCTGTTTTGACGCCACACTCAGCAGTGCACAGGGCTTATTCCTGGCTCCATTCTTAAGGGATCATAGAAAGCAGTGTTAAAGGATCACTCCCGGTGGTTTCCCTGTCTCTATATGCAATGTTGAGGTGATACCTATGTCAACCACATGCAAGACAAGCACCTAACCTAATGTACTCTCTGACCCCTAAGACATATATATATGTGTGTGTGTGTGTGTGTGTGTGTGTGTGTGTGTGCATGCGTGTGTGTGAACAATCTTCTCCTTGACATGATTAACATAGTTAGTTTTTAACCCCACTTGGTTTGATTCCTGTCACCATGTAGTCCCTTGAACACTGCTGGGTGCAGCTCTTGATGGTCCCGAATGTGGCAGGTATCTCTGGCACTACAGGGAAAAAACAGCACAGCATCATTGGGCCTTTGCTTTGAACCCCTGGCATGATTGGTTAGGAATCGCTGGTGGGACCCTGGACCTCTTGAGAATCACTTAGAACCCCTTCTCAAAAGATACTTTTGAAGGTCACAGAGGCAGGTGCATTGAGAGGACAATTGAGGGACAATATGCTGGAGAAACTCGGGGCTGGGATTCCTAGACACGAAAAGCCTGAAGTGGATTTGGAGATTTATAAGAGATGGACCAGTTTCTTCTTGACAGGGCAATACTAACCTCCTCATGGAGAGAGGAGTTTTGGGTGTTCAGGTAAAGCCTTTAGTATGGAAGGGCAGGAACCAGAGCCCAGATACACAGGTCATCGTGCATGCACTCTGGTGCTGTCACGTGCCCCTGGCAGGCTGCTTGAGTGGATATTCCCCAAAGGTCATGTTTAGGTGCCCCGAGAAGGTTGACTCCATTATAACTCCCTCCTATTTGACCATCAGATCTCTGCTGTGTTCCCACAAGTGGATCACTGGGTGTGGAGGACTGAATCTAAGAAGGAGACAACTAATTTCTGGTGAGTCTGTGTCCTGCAGTGCATGGACGGTCCTCTTTCTCCTCCAGAAGTACCAGAGCTGTCCCTTGCAATAGTGGTGGGGTTGTGACAGGCTTGGAGGAGAGAGATCAGTTGACGATGGGCCACATTTTGGAGGTGGTAGCAGAAATATAGAGGCACAGATGTGCCAAAGGACAAGTCGAAAATCTTAGGAAGGACCCTGCATAGGGGCTGGGGCAGCCATGCCTGCAGAGAGCACGTGGGAGGCAGTGAGCATGCTTGGTGCCCCGTGCGCTGTGCGTGACCGCTGACCTGGGAGCGGGAATATGGAGTTTGGAGTTCCGGGGGAGGGCAGTGACGGTGCGGTACTGTATTGGTGTCTTTTCACGGGTTTTTGTTCATTCTTAAGGACTGAGACTGTCCAAGATGAGCCCTCGCAGCAGTTTAAGTGTGAGAGAGGGTGAGGAGGGAACCAAAGGGCTGGAGGTGGTAGGATGCAGAGGCTATAGGTGCCTTCTTGGGAATAGGTACCTCAAGTTCCCACTTCCTGAGCTTCTACCTGGAAAGCCTTAGAACATGGGATTGGGTATTTGAGGCTTCTGAAAGGGGAGAGGAGACACTTGAAAGTTCCATTAAGATCGGTGCTGGTGGGGCATTCTTAATGAGCGGTTTAGTAGGTCACGTGGCTTATTGTGCGCATGATCAGTGTATTCCCCCCCCCCCCCCGCACCATCCTATGTGTTGCCTGTTTGGGGGACTTTGGGGTATATGGCTTGTTGTGCGCATGCTCAGTGTCTGTTTTCTCCTTTACTGGGGTTTGGTGCCTTTCTTTTGAGCTTCCTCTTTTCTTACTGACTAGGCTCAATGAGTACAACAGCAACATGAGGCCTCCATGGAGTTTGCAGCAGAGGGAGGTGGAGCAGGACGGTTTGGCAGGGATATTTGTGATCTTAAAGATGCTGGTTTTGGAGGGCCTGCTATTTTCCCTTCGAGGGTACTCATGGCCTTAATGGAAGGACGATTAATGGCAGGCGGAGGACAGATCGAGGGGCAGGAGACTCAGAAATGTGGGTGTGGTTTCTGTTACATAATCTTTTCCCAAAGGACAGCCCATTTGTCCTTTGGATGTTTTTGGAAAGCTGTTTTAAAGTAAGAATTTGAAAGTTGTTTCAGCCAAATTGTCTTTGACAAAAGGATTTGTAGATAGCCTTGTTTGATGTGGTTGTTAAACAGGCTGTCAACTCTAATTGAGTCTTACTTTGGAAATATTACTAAATGTCAAAAGATGAATTTATAATAAGCATTTGCTCGTGATAAATACTTGTGTCTTGCCCCTTCATTCCTGGTTTACCTTATTTTTGGGTGGGGGGCATGTGGCATACTCTGCCTCGGCTTCTTACTGCCTCTACACTCAGATATCATTCCTGGCATGCTCCGGGACCATATGGGCATCCAGTGGCTGCATGCAAGGCGACTGCCATACCTGCTATACTATCTCTCCTGCTATATCATACCTGCTATACTCTCTTTCCCCCCCCAACCTTGGTTTACCTTTCTGTTTTCAGTTACTGAGGCTTAGCTCACATGGGAGATAATACAGGGGTAAAGGCACATGCCTTGTATTTGGACTGGGTTTAGTCCTCACCCAACATGGCTCTCATAACACTGCTGGGTAAATCTCTGAAAACCCCCCACATTGATGGCCTGGGTAGTTCTAAACACTGCAGGGATCTCATCTTGAGCCTCTGGGCAGAAAGTCACCAGGAAGACCCCCACGGTCTTGGAAAGGTTAAAGAGAACTATTATTAAGAAGAGAGAGCATTTTCACATTACTCATTACAGAACATCATTAGTCATTTACTATTTCATTATTGTATTATCTTAACCTTCCTAATTTTTAAATTTAACCAAATGGTAAATATAAAATTCTATATTTATTGAGAATACAGTACAGGTGTGCCATTTCTGGAATCTTCTGTGGGTCTTGATACCATCCCAGGGAGTATCAAGTAGTATACTATGTGCATCTGTTAATTACATTTTACAGTTCATGTTTTTCTTCTTTCAGTGAGAAAAATATGAGTGAAATTCTAAGATCAGGATCTCAGGGCAGAGGAGAGGAGGAAGAGGCAGCTACAGAAGTGGTGAGTGTTCTTCCATCTAGCTTCCATTGACAGAAACGAATTCTTGTGTGGGTAAAAGATGAAACACCTGTTGAACCAATATGTTTCTGTTGTTTGAGGTTATGGCTATTAAAAAGGAACCAAATAAATTAGATATAGAGCAGAGATAATCATAACTGATGTCCTATGAATATTTAAAAGCCTGGAAATAATCTATATGGAGTCCCCATTGTAATATTAATAAAAGCATACAATTCAGAGAAAAATTATGTGATTCTTCCATAGCAGATCTTTTTGTTATAGCATTTTCTGCTCTTGAGAAAAAGTATTTGGTTTTTGTTTTTATTTTTGTTTTGGGGCCATACCTGGTGATACTCGGGGGTTATTTCTGGCACTGCGTTCAGTAATTATCTGTGGTGGTGCTTGGGGAACTATTTGGGATGTCTGGGATGGAACCCGGTTAGCCATGTTCAACCTAAGTCCCCTACTTGCTGTACTATCACTCTGCCTTCAGAAAAAGTAATTCTTGGGAGTATTTACAAAAAGGAATGTAAGAAAAAACACAATAAGTGATTAGTTACTTCCATGTACTGTTTTTTATATTCATGTTTTATATTTTCATAGTATGAATAACTGTGTTTTCATTTATAACTATTTTCCCCAAGATTAACAAATCAGGTAATGATGACCCTGGCATTGATGTATCACTACTTGAGTTTCCTGGTATTGAAAATGAAGAAGAGCTAGAATATGAAGAAGATGAAGAAGATGTAGAAGAGGAGAATGAAGAACCACCCATATTTCAAGGTGAACAGGGATAAAAGGATGTTTCATATTTTATTTATGATATTATAGTAGTAAATTCATAAAATAAGATGACCCTGAAAATTGATTGAAAACCAATTTGGTAAGGGAAAGAGAGATTTCAGCTGACTGAAATACTTTTCTGTGAATTTTCCCTATTTGAGCATTTCATTCAGTCATATTTAAAGTTTTTTTGACTAGAAAATACACTCTTTCCCTGGCCCTGTATATCTGATTATATCAAATGAAATTAAATTGAGAGAGAATTATGTGCTTGTTTTGTTTTTAGGCCACATCCTATGGTGCTCGGGGCTTACTCCTAGGTCTGTGCTCATGCCTTTGGTGCTTAGAAGAACCATATGAAGTGCTAGGGATTGGACCCAGGTTGACTGCATGCAAGGCAGGCACCATACCTGATATACTCTATGTGCTATACTATTGCTCAGGCCCCTCATTTACTTTTAAATCTTAAAATGGTGTTTTCTTGTTTTATGGTATTTTATACAAAGGTAAGCAAATCCAGATATTATAGTTAGCTCTTAAATTGTAATGAAATATTTTCCCATTATAGGTGAAATTAAAATGTGAATTCATTTCCTAATTCTTACAAAAGTCTTCCATATTGTTGTCTCTTAATCCACGATCTATTTTCCATATATTGTTCCTAGACTTATATTGCTTTAAAATATTTGAAAACTAGAAAAATTATAAGAGTGTAGTGTATTCCAATTTCCTTTTTCCATATTTACCTGTTCTCTTTTGCCATATAAATCCTTCTCTTTAAAAACTAATAGCCACATCACTATTGCTGAGTCATGTAAAAACAAATTTACGCTATCACTCTTTAATGTTTGGGTAATTCCAAATATATATTTCCTAAGACAAGGAAAGTCTTTTGTAAAATCCAGCATTATGAGAAAATACAGAAAAATTCAAATAGAAAAACATCTTACTCATTAGGTCTAATAATATAACATATAGCATATTTTCTAACTCTTAGTCCAATCCATGACCAACCACTAATGCTAGTTGTTATTTGTCTTTGGTGTTCACTACCTGGAGGTGTGCCTCCATCTTTCTTTGTATTTAATTTTTGAAAAATTTTTATTAGTGAAACGCCATGAGGTACAGATGTAGATTTACAAATTTTTGTGCTTGGGTTTCAGTTATACAATGATTTGTATAACTGAATTTTTACCCATCCCTCCACCAGTGCCCATTCTCCACCACCACTAATTTCAGTATCCCTCCCACCCCCCATGCCCCCATCCTACCCTGCCTCTGTGGCAGGGCATTCCCTTTTTTTCTCTCTCTCTCTCTCCTTTTGGGTGCTGTGGTTTGCAAAAGAGGAATTGAGTGGAAATCATGTTTGGTCTATAGTCTACTTTCAGCATGCATCTCCCATTTTTGATGTTTATTTTGGAATTCAAACCAGTTGGTTTGTAACTATTCTTCAAACGGAATTTGTCTCTTCCTTCTCATTTATTGGGACCTACTTGGTGACAGGTAGCATAATGAATGCTAAGGATATAAATCAGAATGATAAAAGTCATGAGATTACAATTTTATGAAAGTTATTTACATAAAGAAATAGTTGATTTGGTTGATATTGCAACAGAAGTATTTAATAGCTATAAAAGCTATAAAAGAGCCAAATAAGTAATACTAAACATTTTTAAAAGAAATAAGTTCATAAAATGAGATAACATTTGATAAATACAAGTCCACTTTCTAGCAGAAAACTATTTAGTGCATATTGATTTCTTATGTATCAGATTAATTTCAATACTTAATTATAGATATTATTTAGTGACATTATGGTTTGAAGCTCAGATTAATATCTTTATTTATATAAGAAATTGAAGTGGAAGATTCTCTCCAGGATGAGGAACAGGAAGAATTTGTGGATGAGCCTTCTATGGAAGAGGACATGCCATCTAATCCTGATTCAGGTATATTACCCAATTCCGGTCATTGTGTTGCTTGTTTCCACAATCTTATTATTACTTAGCAAAAAAATAATACATATAAACGGTCATGGTCACGGTCCTCCCATTGTTCATCGATTTGCTCTAGCGGGCCCAGTAACGTCTCCATCATGAGACTTGTTGTTACTGTGTTTGGCATATCGAATACGTCACGGGCAGCTTGCCAGGCTCTGCCGTGCGGGCGAGGTACTCTCGGTAGCCTGCCAGGCTCTCCGAGAGGGGCGGAGGAATCAAACTCGGGTCGGCCATATTGGCTGCGTGCAAGGCAAACACCCTACCGCTGTGCTATCGCTGCAGCGAAAGTTAAGATACCAGAAGTTTGATTGAAAGTGCCATCAGTGTGTATATGGGGGGAAACTAATTGAATCATGTAGTCGAAGTATATCACATGAAAGTACTGAAAGTACTACTATTTTTGAATATAAATTCTGTAAAACCACAAAAAGTTAGCATACTCCTCCTCCTCCTCCTTCTTCCTTGTCTTCCTTCTCTTTCTTTCCTCTTCCTCTTCCTCCTCTTCTTTCCCCTCTTCCTCTTCCTCCTCTTCCTCCCATTTTCCTCTTCCTCTTCTTCCTTTTCCTCTTCTTCTTTCTCCTCTTCCTCATCTTCCTCCTCCTCCTTCTTCTTATTCCTCCTTACTCCTGTTTCAGTGCTCAGGGATCATTCCTGGTCATGTTTAAGGAGACAATATGTGATACTGGGGATTGAACTAGAGATGGCTGCATGCAAGACAAGCACCTTACCCCCATTCCTTCATCATATCTCCAGCCCCCATCATACTTTTTCAATTGTATGGATCATTTTACTTATCCCAGTAATAATTGTATAACTAAGTGACAAAGTAGTATATTTTATTTGTCAGAATTTTTCTTAAGAATTATTGCCTTAAAAAGCACAGTAGAAATAACATCTGTACCTATATGTTCATTGCAGCACTGGAAACAACCCAAGTGCCCTAGAACAGATGACTGGTTAAAGAAACTTTGGTACACAATGGAATATTATCCAGCTGTCAGGAGAGATGAAATCATGAACGTTACTTATAAATGGATAGACTGGAGAGTATCATGCTAAGTGAAATGAGTCAGAAAAGAGGACAGACATAGAAGGATTGCACTCATGTGTGGAGTATAAAACAACATAACATGAGGTTGACACTAAGAATAGTAGATACACGGAACAGGTAGATTGCTCCATAGCTGGAAGCCTGCCTCATGAGCAAAGGGGAGAAAGCAGATGGAATAGAGAAGGGATCACTAAGCAAATGATGGCTGGAGGGATTGGTCGGGATGGGATTTGTGTGCAGAAAGTAGAAAAAGGACTAAACATGATGACCTCTCAGTATCTATATAGCAAAACAATTCCCAAAAGTAGAGAGAGATTATGGGGAATCATGTCTGCCATAGAGGCAGGCGGAGGGTGTGAAAGGGGGGTATACCAGGGATATTGGTGGTGGGGAATGTGCACTGGTGGAGGGATAGGTGTTTGATTATTGTGTGATTGTAACCCAAACATGAAAGCTTGCAACTGTCTCATGGTGATTCAATAAAATCTAAAAAAAAGAATCATTGTCTTTTAGAGTAAATCATATGTATTTGTAGATTTTTCTTTTTCTTTCTTGTTTTATTGAGCCTTAACTTTAAAGCTGCTTTAAAAGTTGAAACCTCAACACCCAAAAGGAGAGAGAGAACAAAAGGGAATGCCCTGCCACAGAGGCAGGGTGAGATGGGGGGGATGGGAGCGTGGGAGGGATACTGGGACCCGTGGTGGTGGAAAATGGGCACTGGTGGAGGGATGGGTACATGATCATTGTATAATTGAAATCTAAGCACAAAAATTTGTAAGTCTACAACTGTACCTCATGGTGTTTCACTAATAAAATTTTTTTATAAAGTTGATATATTTTTCTTTGCATCTGAATATCCATGGTGACAGAGACTTAAAACTAGTGTGACAGTAATATTTATCATCCAGACTCGGATGTACTTGAGCGTTTAAATTAGTGGAAAACTATTTTGAATGGTATTTTACTTAAACCACAAGTTTCGTTTGTTCTTGGCAAGTTTTTTCCTCTGTTCCTAAATTTATTTAATCAGTTTACAGTGACACAGCTATATTGCAGTTAGGTCTCAGATTTTAATTTACTTTTTATGAAATAAAAATGTTAATTATTTTCATATATTGTTTCCTCTTGAGCTATAATATACTTGTCATATATTCTTTATCAAAAACTTTTTACTTTGAAAAATATTTAAAATTGATAGGAAAGTTATAAGATAGTATAGAGTGCTCATGTATTCTCAATTTACCAACTCGTAATACTCGGTACATACCATTCTGTATTTATTTATTTATTTTGTGTCACACCTGGCAATGTTCAGAGGATTCAGGAATTACTCCTGGTGATGCTCGGGGGACCATATAGGATGCTGATGCTGGGGATCTAACCCAGGTTGGCCATGCTGTACTACTGCTCTGGCCCCACCATCCTCTCTTTAAATATTGATGCAGATACTGTTATTCCTTGAATCATTTCTAATACTTTATTTTCTGAGGAAATTAACTGAATTTGCTAAGGAGAAAAATTTAAAATACAACACTATGACCAAATATAGGAACTTAATGATTGAGGAACATCAATAATATTAATTCAGTAGACTTAGTAATGTACATTAGTATTATTTTCAAAGCCAGGATCTATTCCAAGACTACCCAGTGCAGTTAGTTTTTTTACTTTTGTCGTCTAATATTTTAGAGGTGTGCTTCTTTTTTTTGGCTTTTTGGGTCACATCTGGTGATGCAACAGGGTTACTCCTGGCTCATGCACTCAGGAATTACTCCTGGTGGTGCGCAGGGAACCATATGGGATGCTCGGAATCAAAGCCAGGTCAGCTGCGTGCAAGGCAAACGCCCTACCCGCTGTCCTATCGCTCCAGCCCAGGTATGCTTCTTTATGTTTCATGGTTTTTTAATTAAGACTGGTTGTTTTGTAACTGTTTCTCAGTTGGGTTGTCTTATACTGTTTATTTGCTGGTGTCTCCTTGGTTGAAAGTAATTTACTAGATGCTATTTATATAAAATGAGAATAAGTATCTTAACCTTTCAATATGAACAGAAATTCTTGTAAACAAATAGTTGATAAGTGCATAGGTACCAACTAAGTTGCCATAAACAATTTTATTTTATTTAAAAATTTTATTTTATTTTTATAAAGTAGTTCACAATGGGCTGAAACAACAGCACAGCGGGTAGAGCATTTGCCTTGCACATGATTTACCTGGGTTTGATTCCTGTGTCCCTTTTGAAGAGCCAGGAAATCTACTGAGAATATCCCGCCCGCATGGAAGAGCCTGGCAAGATACCCATGGCGTATTCATTTCATTTTTTTAATTTCATCATCCTGTTATTTGTCGATTGCCTCGAGCAGGCCCCAGTAATGTCTCTTTCATCCTAGCCCTGAGATTATATTCAAGGCTCTTTAGGAGAATGAGACCCATCATTGTTACTGGTATTTGGCATATTTGGTACGCCACGGGGAGTTTGCCAGACTCTGCCCTGTGGGCAGGCTACATTCGATAGCCTGCAAGTTTGTCCAAAGTAGGAATGAGATCATAAGATGTCATAAAAAGATGTCCTGATAAGACGTCGCACGGCCGCGAATGCGGCCATGCGGTTCTGGGAGCTGGATTTTATAGTCTCTGAGTCTTGGCCGTTGATGGGATTACACGGCGCCAGGGGGCCAGGTGGTGGGTGTGACCCCCGCCTACTGGGATTTGGAGGACCTGGGTGGCGTATTCAATATGCCAAAAACCATAACAACAATTCGCACAATGGAAATGTTACTGGTGCCTGCTTGAGCAAATCGATGAACTACAGGAGGACATTCTACAGTGCTACAGTTCACAATATTTGAGTACATTCAATATTTGAACACCAATCCCACTACCATTATACCCTCCCACCACCATATTTTGGAAATTTACACCCTGAACCACCAACCTTGTGTTTTCTAGTAGAAATCTTTTTAATGGTCATTATATCTTTTTTTATTAGTGAAACACCTAGAGGTACAGTTGTAGAGTTAAATTTTTTTTCTGCTTGGGTTTCAGTTATACAAAGATCGAGTACCCATCCCTCCACCAGTGCCCATTCCCCACCACCAAAGATCCCAGTATCCTTCCCACCCCCCATCCCCCATCCCACCCAACCCCTGTGACAGGGAATTCCCTTTTGTTCTCTCTCTCTCTCCTGTTGGGTGTTATGGTTTGCAAAAGAAGCATTGAGTGGAAATCATGTTCAGTCTATAGTCTACTATCAGCATGCATCTTCCATCCTGGAAGGATCCTCCCAACACCCCTTACTTGGTGCTCCCTTCTCTATCTGAGCTGCTTTTCCCCCTAGCAAGTGCATCTGGCCTCCAAGCCATAGAATGAACCTCCTGGTACTTATCTTGGCTATTCTTAGGTGGTAGTCTCCTATTTTGTTACTTTATATTCCCCAGATGAATGCAATCTTTCTATGTGTGTCCCTCTCTTTTGAAGTCATTTTCCTGAGCATGATACTTTCCATGTAGTACCACTTGTATGTAAATTACATAACTTAATTTTTTCTAACAGCGGCATAGTACTCCATTGTGTAGATGTACCAAAGTTACTTTAACCAGTCATCTGTTCTTGGGCACTCGGGGTTTCTCCAGATTTCGGCTATTGTGAGCAGTGAAGCAATGAACATAGAAGTGCAGATGTCGTTGATTCATCCTTGAGAGATTACAGGAGTCCAGGAATTTATCGATTTCTTATAGGTTCTCCTGTTTTATGGCATACAGACTTTCAAATTAGTCTCTGATGATCTTTTGAATTTCTTTGGTTTCTGTTGTGATATCCCCCTTCTTATTTCTGATTCAGTCTATTAGGTTTCCCTCTTTCTTTGTGAGTCTTGCTAGTTGTTTATCTATCTTGTATATT